AAAAAACAAATAACACGACATTTAAAGGTTTACAACAACTAACTAGAAAATATACAGGATATACATTTTTTAAAAAGAGAGGAGGGGGGGGGGGCAGGAACAGCAAGCGTCAAGCAGTATGTAATTCAATCATGCATTAATACAAAATCACCTATCCAGATGCAGTATGAAGGTTTATACAATCCTAATGTTCATGCGAAAAAGATGAAGGTGCAGCAATTTACGAAGCAAACATGCTAGTTAACAAGACGTTCGAGACCTTGTACAAAGTTGGTGTCGATAAATAGTTCGAGAGGTAAACCGGTCCAGTTGCTAATAGTGCGAGGGAAAAAGCTAAACTTAAACATGTTAGTACGCGCAAAAATGGGTGTTAGTGAAAACCGATGTCTGTGCCGCGTAGTTCTTGACGCTAAAGGGGAAATATATTGCAATGGGTCTATGCGAGTCTGTCCTTGTTTAAGATGAAACAAGAATTTCAACCGCGCAAGTTTCCTCCAGGCCTGAAGGGTCTGTATTCCGTTGGCCTGTATAAGTTGAGACGGTGAATCCAGCCTTCTATACTTTCCGTAAATAAACTGAACCGCTCGATGTTGCACCATCTCCAACTTCCGGAGATCTTTTTGAGTGAATGAATCTCAAACGGCATATGCATACTCCAAATTGGATCTGGCTAATGAGCAATAAGCATGTAGCTTAACCTGAATCGGAGCGTCTTTCAACTTTCTTCTAATGAAACCCAACTTCATGGATGCCGAGGTAGAGATATGTTTTATATGAGGAGACCATGAAAGTGTGTCCGATATAATTAAACCAAGATATTTGCATTCTCGCTCCACAGTGACCGGGGTGTCCGCGATATCATAAATGTATTCAAAGGGTTGCTTCTTTTTTTTTTTTTTTGTAATACGTAAAAGTGTTTATTTAGCAGAGTTAAGCTTCATTTTTCCAGGTATCGCACCATGATACAACGGAATGCAAACTATGGTCTAACAATAGCTGACACGAGCTCGAATTTATTTCTTTAAAAATAATGCAATCGTCGGCAAAAAGGCGTGTATGGACACCTGCGTCAATGATTGATATAATATCGTTTATGTACACCAAGAACAAAAGAGGAGCTAAAGCGCTCCTGGGGGACCCCCGACGTTACAGGCAGAACTGGAGAGATGCAACCTTCGACGGAAACAGACTGTGTGCGATGTGACAAGTATGCAGCAATCCAGTTAACAAAACCATGTGGAAGACCAAGCTGTTCAAGGTTAAAAAAGCAGTTGTTCATGAGGCACCTTATCGAAAGCTTTGCTGAAGTCCAAGAAAAGCACATCAATTTGACTTCCTCTATCGAGGATTTGCGCAAACTCATGGATGGTAGTAACGAGTTGGGTCGTAGTTGATAAGCCTTTTCGAAAGCCATGTTGAAACTCTGTTAGAAAATTACGGATGTCCAGCAGTTCATTGATTTCACTGCAGATGATATGCTCTATTAATTTACCCGAAGAAGAAGTCAAGGATATTGGACGGTAGTTCTCAGCTGCTAGTCGATCCCCTTTTTTGTGCACAGGTACCACTATGGCAGTGCGCCAATCATCTGGCAGCGAGCTGTTTGAGTATGATGTACGAAAAATAATGAGAAGATAATTGGCTAGGGACTCATCGTACCGTCGTAGAAACTTGTTTGGAATCTTATCGGTATCAGCACTTGTTTTCATTTTCAGTGACAACAGCCAAGAAACTATGCCGCAATAAGTTATGAACTCAGAGTGACAGTTAGATGCGGTAGAAATGACATAATCGTGGTTATGGTTATCGGAGAAAACCGACTGAAAATACATATTGAAATGGCACGCTATAACACCAGGATCTGTTGAGACAGTGTCATTCACCACGATTTGCTCAACGGGCTTATTTTTTTCAGTCAAGTAGTGCCAAAACCTTAGGGGGTCCTGTTTAAAATAGTTTAGAAGCGTACTGGAGAGGTAGTTGTCAATGGCCTCTGCAATTAGGCTACGAAGATCACTCCGCAGACTAGTGACATCACAGTTAACTGGCCTTGCTTTCTTCGCTCGTTTTATTCTGCGTTTGAGATTTACGATTTTTCTATTAATCTACGAATTATTACGATTAATACGCTTGTATTTTGTAGGTACAAATTTATCAAGTCAGTATTCACAAAGTTCTTAAATTTTAGCCAAAGGGCATCAACATTCGTATAAGTGAAATTATCAATATTTATGTCAAGATAGTCGAGTATGCTAGTACCGTCAGCTCGGGAAAAGTCTTTAAAAGGTGAATATATAGCTCATTTTGTAGGTGAAAAGCTCTCAAGCAAACAGGTCAAGAGGACCAAAAGGTGATCAGACATACCCTGTTTAACAGATATGGTGCAATCTGTAAGCGAATTGTTTACGAAAACAAGATCAAGAATTGGGTGACTGGTACCATGCACTCTGGTTGGATCCTGAACTAACTGCGTCAGATCAAAGGCGAACATCATATCAAGAATAATTTCTGTTGCAGAAGATGAACCACACATACTCGCCCAGTCAACGGACGGGATACTAAAATCACCAGCCAGGATTATTTTATGGCTGCTAGATTTAAACAAATGGTCAAATAATCTGCACAAGTAGTCAGGAGTAGCAGAGGGGGGTCGATAAACAGCTCCAAGGATAACAGTGTTGCCCCAACAGTTAAAGCGTAGAAACAAGCTTTCATGATTTTCGGTTTGGGCTTCCGGAACCGCTTCAATGCCTGGTTTAAGTAAAACAGCCAGTCCGCCATCCCTTCCATCACGATCCTTGCGAAATACATTGTACTGATCCGGAAATACCTCTCCGTCACTAATGTAATCAGTAAGCCAGGTTTCGGTCATAACACAAACATGCGGGTCATGCGTAAGAAGGCATGGTTGTCGCCTGAATATTCAGCTAGGATAAACACAATTCCTATCAAGCAATTTCAAAGGTCCAGTCTGCAAGGAGGTAGCCGCAGTCGTTGGGGACGACTAGCATTTATTGTATTTTCTTGATGTTTCTCCATTACAGCTCTGCCGCCATAGCTTACAACTGGTGTGCCACTCGTGCTGCTAACTTGTTTTGGAGTTTGTAGATGCGTCATCTCTGGCGTGTCACCTGTCGTTTGTACATTTGGGCTTGGGCAAGCATCCTTTTCGTCCTCCGGCTCTGGTTGGCTTTGGTGGGTGGAGTGACCACTACGTAGCTGGTCAATATGACGATTCCAAATGGATTTTCCGACTTTTGCTTGTTATGAGAGAGAGCCAGTTCTCCTCACGACTGTTCCAGGTACCCGCTTGCTTTGGCTGCGGTAATCTCGCACTGATACAGGGGCTCCTTCAGAAAACGAGTGCAGTCGTCTGTTCTGAACTGGATATTGTTTTGTCTTCAGGTACATTTGCCCGTTCAGAACTGGTCACAAAAGTGCCAGTCGAGTTCGCAGTTCACGACCGAAAAACAGTTTGGCAGGTGCCACACCAGTTGTACAATGTGATGTGATGCAATATACCAACAGGAAGTTTGCCAGTTCTTTGTTCGTTGAGCCTTCCCCTTCATGCTGTGCGTGAAGGATTGCACAAATATTTCTGCAAGTCCATCTGTCGCAGGGTGGTATGGCGCACTCAGTCTTGTACACGTTACTCGAAAAAAGTAATCGATTACAATTACAATTACTCTTGGTTTAAAAGTATTCGATTAGATTACTTGATTACTTCAGAGAGAAAGGAATTGGGCATTACTTGAAAAAGTAATCGTTACTTTTCAGATTACTTTAGAAGCTTCGCACCGTGACTCGGAACAATGAGAAACGCAATAAAAATCAGCTACTTTGAGGCACATTATATGAAGACAAAGGAACGTGTATATTAGGGAGACGTTTATCTCTTTTAAGATGCAACGAGCACTCCTTATGTCTTGTTCAATTTCAGCAGGAGCTGGCACTCGAAGTCGCAGTCGCTCATTTTCCCGCGTTTTCGGGTCAGGATGTCCGCTGCTACGCTAAACACCCTCTCCACAGACGCGCTGGATGGCAGGGCAGTGTTAAACCTAATGAACACTTTCTGTAGGTGGGGGTACTCCTTCAGCATCTCCGTCGAAGTGTCCGGAGAGCTGAGATGGCGTGAGACTTCCCCACATTCCCGGGTCGATCTTGGCGCCGAAAAAGCGAAGAAATCGTCAAGAGGGGAACCTCCGCAGTCAGCGGGAGGTTCCTGTCCGCCGGTGGGCGATCCTCCGTAGCATGGGCGGTTCAGCTCGTCCGTGAGCAGCTGGGCTAGCTCCTGCCGCATGGCTTTGCCAAAAACCCAGCCGACTTTAAACCGGAGGAGCGCAATGGCTGCTAGCAACAGCTCCCGGTCGTTTATCAGGGGACCAAACCTGTAAGTAGAAAGTATCGCATCTGATAGGTGAACACAGTTCCGCCCCGCAAAAAGTGGAAGTAGATTATGCTTCTTCAGAAACTTACCGGTTCTGGATTCCATCAAGCAGAGCATCAACAAGCGGCGCGGAGAAAGCTAGGCCCGCCTGGAGAAGATGGCTGAGCCGCTGCTGGAGTACAGTGATCGTTGGCAGCAGGTACCCCATGAACATGTGTTCTTCTCTTTGAACCACGTCAATCGCACAGGCGAGGGGCTTCATGACCTGCAAATGCAATAGAGGGGAAGGTTAACAGTACGGATGTTTTGTTTACGGTATTGACACGCAGATCCCTCCTCATAAATTCAACCTCCTTTTGTGAAACGTAGAAATGACAGATATGGCACTCTCACCTTACAGTACTCTTCTATGAAGAGTAGGTCACGTGGACGCTGGAAGGGAGGAACTTGTAAGGTCCTGCATAACCCGTCGAAGTCTTTTCCCTCAGCATCCAACTTGTGCACGCACTCTAGCGCATCGTAGAGAGAGTTCCACCGCGTGGCTACGGGCCTTATTAATGCCTTCCCACAGAAGCGTCGGATGGTCTCGGCAGCAACCGCCGACTGTCCCTGCTTATTCCACAAGGCGCGGCATGTCCGCAAAATGGAGCGAAAAGGTCTCGAGAAGATTTCGTGACGCTCCGCTGCTCCGGCGTCGATCGTAGCCACCATATTTAGGGTGTGCGCAGCACATCTATGGTGAGGGGGGAGTCGGGCCTCTCCTTGGTTCACGTTTTCAAGCAGGGGTGCTACCTCCACGAACTCCAGGCCTTCATCGTCCTGCTCCGAGGGCTCTAGGTCGTCAGGCTGAACAGGCTCACTAAACACCCTGTGTTATAAATGAAGAAAATAATAGTTACCCAAACGAACAACCTGCATTTACTTTTTGAACGTTTGAACCACGACAACAAGCAGATACACTTTGCTGGTGGAATTTGAACGCTATATTGGATTCACAAAGTGGGTCTACTTGTTGTCATGATCAGATATATGCGTGGAATGGTGCTGATGTTCTAAGCAAGCGCTTTTGGAATTTTATCAGTAATTTTGATCAATAGATAACAGGCCGCTATTACTGTATGCGGCAAATATTACCTGAAGGCTTTTACGAAATTGGATCCATTGTCGGTCACGACCTTGGTGACTTTTTCTTGAAGGGCGTACTCCTTGAAAACCTCCAGAAGAAGGTCTGCAATCTTGTCGTGCGTGACCCTGCCCATCATTCTTTGGCAGATCAGTACTGCAGAGTTCCTCTTCAGGGAAACCGGCTCAAGCCAAGAAACTGTCGCTGCCAGATAGCACCTGCGAAAGAAACAAACAAATATTTTGTATAAACTGTACTGAGAAAACAAAAACCCGCCAGCTTAATCCCCAGTAGACAATACTGGTATTGACTGAACATTAAGGGCATATTATGTCTCTTAAACTACTAGTTACGTATTTTAGCAGTATCAGCGCTTTTATATCACCGAATTTAATTTAAAAAAAACAAAAAAAAAAACGAAGTTTTCCCGACAACTCATTTCTTGGTTTATTTTTTTTTTAAGTGAGAGTCCAAAAAGCTTCTATGAGGAGACTTTTATATTTAAATACAGAGACCAGCAAATACAAACCCATGCATATAACTTTGAAACGAACATTCTGGATATGCGACAAGAACGTACAAGGAATACACGATGTTATTTTAAAGAGGCTTACCGTCGGAACGACGTCCAGCAGTCGGCAGTCACAGTGACGTAAGGAACCTCGCCGAAAGCTTTCCGCAGGCTTGTCTTCATCTCTTCGTATCTCTCGTCGATTCTCGCCATCAGCATTCTCTGTGTTGGTACGGTGTTTTCAGGGGCCAAGGTATCCACAAGTTTAACGAAACTGGGAGCCTCGACGACAGAGAAAGGTTGCAGGGAATCTACAACAAAATTCACAATCAGGGTTTCCAGCTGCTTTTGAGGCACCCGCCCGCTTGCAAAGTTGAGGGTAAGTTGTTTCGGCGTGGACGTTGAAGCAGCTTCAGACAGCTTCCGTTTCCGCGAAGAGTTCTCAAAGTCAGCCAGATTCCCGGGGTGTTGACTCTAAAAAAACAATAGTGATTAATACATAAATTAAAAAAAAAAAAAAAAAAAAACACGCATACAGCGGACATGCACGGCTAATAAAACGTACCTTTACGTGCTTCCGCAGGTTCGAGTTCGTCACCATGGAACAAGACAGGAGCTTTTCTTTAGGCTTACAAAGTTAACACTGAAATGTGAGGTTGCCATCACCTCGCTTTTCCTTCAGCACAAACAAGCTTGCCAGCTGCGGCCACGGAGACACGGCGTCACCGACCTTCCTAGCATGAGCCATCTCTATAAAACACGACTGAAACATTGAGTTTTATAGCCGTGAAGTTTCTAAGAGAAGTTCCGAGCTATTCACCCGGGAACGCCTTCATCCCTCCTTGGTTGTAACAGAAGCGCTAAATTACTCATAATCTCGATCCACCCGTTCCGAATTTCCGAGCGAGCTCGAATATTTCTTGAAGTGCGTACTAAGGACGCTAGATCGTGTTAGTTCCACTGAGCTATGGTGACCTATATTCAGCTCTGGAGATATGGCTTTTGCGCTCTTTGTGGCTTAATGCTCTAAGTTAGTACAAAGAAGCTTCTCCCCTTTTCTTCCGTCTGGCGCCTTTTCTTTCCTGGAGTTTCCCACTAAGATAATTATCCAACAGTGGGTGCCACTTCTGCCGAAGGATATGAATTCTTAGAGCTCACATTTATAGTCACACCTTAGCATTTACATTACATGGCTTTGGTTATCTTGGAGGCAGAAGAATGTAGAGGTGCTTTGACCAGGATTTAGAGTTCTTTTTTTTAATATATAAGAGGGGTGGACCGCATGAAGAGGTAATAGAGACAAACATTCTACATTAACCATCGAACTTCGCAATGAAAGGCTTTTGTCGAGAACCCGAACCTGACAAACCGAGTCGAAATCCAAGTTCCAACAAACCACTCTGCGAACTGCCCAGACAAAGAGCGTGACCTCCTTTCGTAGAGCTCAGCAACAATGCTTTTATTCTCTCTGATTCCAAAAGCTTAGAAGCTGATAAAGTGAAGACGTCTCGTGTTTGGTGACTAGGTTGGCCGAGGGGGGGGGGGGGGGGGGGGCGGTAAGGAAAAAAGTAATGGTTACAAGTAATTCCATTACTTTTAAAAGTAATCAAATTACTCTTGTGATTACTACAAAACAAAAGTAATCAAATGAATACAAAATTACTTCAAAAAGTTATCAATTACAAGTAATTTGATTACTTGTAATGAGTACCGTACAAGTCTGGGAGCACTGAATGTGTGTCGCACGCTATTCTCCTTGTGAAAGGTCTGAAATCCTCCTGCCACAAATTGGGGACCACTGTCAGTGACAACACGTTCAGAAAGTCCGTTCCGTGCCAACATGTCGAGAAGGACGCCGGCAGTGAGTACTGCAGTCGCAGAGCTCCTGACGTAGACTTCTGGCCATTTTGTGAATGAATCAACTGCAATGAGAAACATCTTGCCGAAGAATGGTCCTGCGGAGTCCACGTGGACACGACGCCATGATCCACTGGGAATCTCGCTAGGATGGAGTGGTGCCTTTAAAGGGCATGTTGCTTTGTCGGAAGCCCCGCTGCACTTTTCGGTGATAGCCTCGATGTCGGCATCAATGGAAGGCCACCACACAAAGGAATGTGCAAGTGTCTTCATCTTCACAGTGCCTTGATGTCCTGTGTGCAAGTCCTGCCGGATGGGTTCCCGTAGCTTAACAGGAATAATTGTCCTGATCCCCCACACGATTATTCCCTGATGCACAGAGAGTTCGTCTTTTCGTCGGTAGAAGTGCAGTATTTCGTCATCTTGATCGCAAGTGTTCCAGCCGTTCAGGACGTGAAAATACACTCTTGACAAGATGCAGTCGCGTTGACTCGCTTGCATCACTTCTGCAGTCACGGGAAGGGTCTCCACTGGCGTCATGCGAGAGAGTTCTGCTTCGTCCGGCTTGTCCTCTGGCGCAACAGGTAGGGGAAGACGTGACATGGAGTCTGCATTCGCATTGTCTTCAGACCTTCGGTATTCAATCTCGTCGTTTAACCCAGCCAGACATAGTGCGTATCTTTGGATACGCACCGCCTGCATTGCTGGTATGCTGCTGCTTGGGCTAAAGATGCCCGTGAGTGGTTGATGATTCGTGATCAGCTTGAAGTGCCTTCCATATGGGTATGCGTGGAATTTCCGGATTCCTTAGACGATGGTTAGAGACTAGAGTCTCTTTGTCTATTTTGCGACTAGTTCCTCTCCGATGTCTTCAGTGTACTTGAAGCAAATGCGATGGGTCTTTCGCTTCCATCTGGCATCACATGTGAGAGAACAGTTCCCAGTCCATGGGGTCCTGCGTCACAGGCAAGACGCATCTCCAACTTAGGGTCATAGTAGACAACCACGGTGTCTGATGCTATGATTGTCTTGGCTTGCTTGAATGCCAGCTCACGCTGCTTGGTCCACTTCCAAATGGAAGTCTTTTCTAGGAGCGCATGTAGTAATCGTAGGAGGTTAGCACAGTCGGGAATGAACTTTTTATAATAGTTGATAAGGCCGAGGAACGACCTCAGTTAAGCTTTGAACTTGGGCATTGGAGCCTCCACCACAGCCCTGATTTTGTACTGAGTCTTGAGCAAACCCGTTCCCTTCAAATTACGTCAAGTTTGTCGCCGCAGTAAGTCACAGAGTCCTGGAAAAAGGAGAACTTATGCAGGTTGGCTTTAAGTCCATACTCGTGAAGTCTCCTAAGCGCTGCAGAGAGCTGTTCGCAGGTGCGAGTCCTCCGACCCGCCAGTGACCAATATATCATCCTGTGTCGCATGACACATTGGAATTCCTTGGAGGATCCGGTTAATCGTTCGTTTCCAGACAGCTGGAGCAGGTGATATTCCAAAAATCCTCCTGTTCTACTGGTACAGTCCTTTCTCAGTGTTGATGTTTAGGAGTGGCTTCGATTGCTCGTCCGCTTCCACCTGAAGGTAGGCTTGTCGGAGGTCAATCTTGGAAAATTTTCTTCCACCGGACAGCCTTGCAAAGATGTTCTCAATGCGGGGTAGCGGATACTGGTCCACTACTAGGTGGGTACTGTATTGAACCATCGTTAAAAGCGCTAAAAAGACGTACACAAGATAGAAGACAACACGGGGCTTCTATCTTGTGTACGTTTTTTTAGCGCTTTTAACAATGGTTCAATACAGTCAACACCAACTTGCCCAACAACAAGTTCTTTTACAAGGCGGGTATTGATTGTGCTTTTGAAGTCGCCGCAAATGCGGACAGTTCCATTTGGCTTCACCACTGGCACAATAGGCATAGCCCAATCACTGTAATTGACCTTTGTCAATATGCCTTCCGACTCCAGGCGGTCTAGCTCAGTGGTCTGTTTTTCCTTCAAGGCATAAGGGACTTGACGAGGGCGACAGAACTTGGGGTGAGCTTCACTCTTCAAGTGCAGCGTCAGTTTGAAATCCTTGAGCTTTCCAATGCTGGCATCAGAAAAATCCTTGAACTCTGCAAGTCTTGTCCAGCTGGTCCTGCCTCTAACATAGTACAGGTTGGTTGTCCACCTTCGCCACATCCCAAAGCTCCAGAACGTTGAAATGGTTGGTGCAGTTTCTTCCGAAGAGTGGGGGTCCTGGTGTGTCCACAACGTACAGCTGCAGCTGGCCAGTCGACTCCCCAAATGTCACTTTGGCTGCAGCCACGCCTTGTGGACTAAAGGTTTCGCCTGTTAGAGTGTTAAAACGCACTGGCGCTCCCTGCAGTGTCATGTGTGAGAGATGCTTCTCGTATAGAGTCTTTGGCAGGAGCGAGCACTTGGAGCTCGCGTTCATATCCATTTCCAAGGTTTGCCCCACAATTTTTGGTTTCAGCCAGATAGGGTTAATTCCGTTCCCACCATCGACGTGTGCCAACAATTGAAACTCCGCTTCTTCGTCTTCGTCTTGTACGACGTGAACCTGGCCTTTTGAAGATCGTCAACTTGCTTTCTTTGAAGCCAAACATGGCCTGCGCAAAGTCTTGGTGGGGTCACTCGTCGCCATTCTTTATGTTTGTTAACTGGAATTTATTCGTCTACTTGGAGAAACAAAGGCATGAAGAAAACAGTTATAGAAAGCGTGGTGTGATGGCTACAATAGGGCGGCCATCTTTTTTCTTGTGTTGTTTTTGCCAGTTGTTGTCGCCTGAATACTCAGCTAGGCTAAACACAACACATACGGTTTCACGTACATTGCACTTGCAAAACACATCCACACGGCGTCTATTCTTGGTCGTTATCCAAGCATGCGAAGGCACAGAGACGCAGCACTTAGGCGTACCAAGGAAGCTTTGATCACGCCGCGAGAACGGCGAAACTCGATATCGACGAGTTGTGCCTTTCTCCTGCGGCACTCTGCTTTCGTCAAAATTTCCACGTGTTCTCAACGGAAAGTTTCACCGGTTACACTGGGTCATAAAGAACTCCTAGGGCGAATGACGACGCACGAGTAGAAAACGTATCTTCAGCACGCTGCCCCCCATCCTCTGAAACACTAGCAAAACCGCAATTCGTGTATCAGCAAGATGGCCGTCCGGTGGCTTCACTCGCGGGAACGGCACGCGTGATCCAGTAATTCTCGTAGAGATCAGTGGCGTTGCACTTCTTGCCTCGTTTTGTTTTCTTGTGATCTGCGCCTCTAGAATAACCCGGATGTACTCGAATGTGGCTGGTCGCGCAGCTAGCCCGCTTGCAGCGAAAAAGTAAACGCGGCCCCTTGTGGCACCTGCAGCCCTGCAGCTAAATCCGCTAAACCGCTACACGTGTTTATGGTATTAAAGAGTTTTAGAATAACGTACGCAATTTTATCGCACTCTGGCGGTAAATTTAGCGCTTATGTTAGCGCACGCTGTGCAAGAGAGTTTTAGAATAGTGTTTCTCCGCCGAGACGCAAAAGCCCAAGCATCTCGCGCTTGCAACACCATCAAGATGCAGTCGAAATTTTCATTTCACAACGAAATGCCGTAACTTGTGAAAAAAACAAGTTTCTTTGTTCTAGTTTAACATTTTAGATTTGCTTCAACATGAGAATGCGACGCGAGCGGTCGACCGGTCGTGTCGGCTTGCGTCGCCTCTGCAAAAAAGGTCTCGTGTACTGATCT